AAGTCTTTTCTGAGACTCAGGGAAATAGCTTAACTGTAAGCTCCATGTAAAATCAAAAGACAAATTACGTACTCCCAACATACAGTGGAACGGAATACACATTACCATTCCAAAAGGGAGGACTAGAAGCATAGTAAGGAAATACTGGACCAAAACAAGTCCGAAAACCAGCAGGGCAAACACCAAATTCAGGAACTCCATGTCCAACTTCTGGAACTTTACTTCCAAAGGGCTTAGATGGCTCAGCCTCCCTCTACCTTTGCTGTGTGCAACACACATCTCTTTCTTGGGCTCGTACCACTCCCTGTATATGCAGGTCTTCTTGACAGATGCCTCCACAGCTCCACATCATGAATGTCTTGGGGTCTCCATTGCCAACCAGGCTTCACCTTCCCAGCTTCACGCAGTGGCCTATCAGGGCCTTCTCTAGGCAGGGGCACCCCACTGCATGCTGTCTGGCCTCTGTAGCTCTCTGAAACCAACGAGGAAGAAGTGATGACCCCTTCACTCTTGCATCTTTAATGCCTCTGAAGCCAGCACCAGGTGAACGACACTGCCAAGTTTGACTGCAAGTTTTTGAGGGACTCCAGCCTGCTTTATCCATTTTAGAAGCTCTTCTCTTCAGTGGCCCCTGCAGCATTTTGCTTTCACTAGTTTGAGGCTTAACTGGGTGTGGTCTTGCCCTGGAGGCATTCTCTCCATTGTTTAAGTCCGACTCTCTAGGCCCCTCCTTAATCATTTTAATCTCCTTATCAATAGGATCCTCTCCATCACTTGCCAGGGCTCCAACAATAATCTTCCTAGTGCTCTTTTTCAATCCATCCTGTACATTCTGTATTTCTTTCTGCCCCATTTGATCTTTTTTACTGTAAATCTGTATAATCTGTATAATATTCACCATTAATAGCCGTGTGTGCACAATTTCTACATTATGCTACCTTGAAATTTCTTCCGCCAGAGAAATTAGTCTGTTGCTTTTCAACTTAGCCTCAGGCAAGCTTTTTAAGGCTGTGAGCAAGGAGTAAACATGATGCATGCAGGATGTGTGAGATGAGGTTGATGGGAACAGAAAGTGCAGGGTGCACATCAGGGAGGAAGTGACGCTAAGACACAGATGTGGTTGGCTTCCAGAGGGTTTTGAAAGGCAGGCCTTCAGCTTTGCCCAGTAGGTGATACCATCATATATCAGGAATTGGGAATGTAGTGGGATTGGAACAGAGATCAAGTGGCTGAGGAGGCTGTTGCAGAGGTATAGAACCTGCTTCTCAAGTGAGGTCCTGTAGCATAATTTACTTTCTGTTTTGTAGATGAGGAAATAGAAGCTGAGAGATGTTAAACCATGTGTTAAGGGTTCAATGTCTAACTAGCATATGATCTGATCTTACAGATGCAGCCCTTAGGAAGGAGTGTGTGTGTGGTAGTCTTCTCATAGGGAGTCTGTTTTTCTACACCCATATCTCTGTTGCCAGGACACTAGGCGTGTGTGGTGTGAGTGCTCAGTGTTGTACTAAAAATTTTCATATGTGATTTCTTCAGTTGTACAAGTAATAAGGTATGTGGTGTCAGTACCAACAATGGGGAAAAAGTCAGGTGTAGTGCTTGAGGCCTCATAGCCAGGGTTACTAATAGGAGGTGTTAGCTTGAGCTTAGGGTTACCAGAGGCTTCTTCTTTTCCAGTTCACTTTCTTACCAAATGTGGATCAGGCTGCTTGGCTCAAGCAAGCCTGGTCAAAGTCAGGAAATATCTTGTACTTGGATCCTTGACAGTATATCTAGGCTCAGAACCTCATGTTATGATGAAAACTAGATATCTGTTTCCCATGTTCTAGTCCACAGGTTCTAGAAACTTCCCCTGATCCACTCGTGAAATAGCCTCATCCTGCTTCTTCTTAGTACCTGTGCTAGTTTGGACACTGAGTTGACATCATGTTGGTTGGTGTATCTGTGGGGGTTTCTGTGTACAGACACACACTTGAGGTCTCTTTCCTCAGTGGAAAACTCTTAGGCCACCTCTAAAGAAAGGACACTCAAACAAAAAACAAACTAGCTCTCTGAGAAAGCTTGGTTTTCTGTTTTCTAGGAAATTTCACAGGCATCTTCCTGGGATAGAGAATCCTATAGAAGCTGTTGAAACTGATAGGTGAATCTAGGCAGCTGGGCGTTGTGGAGGAGATAGCTATGCATTCAGTTAAAAGTGATTCAGTCTCTGTTAAGTGCTTAGTACAGGTAAACGCTTGTTAGTTTATTTCATAGTTCCCAAGTACAATGTTGAACTTTAATTGCAAATGACAAGGTGGATTCTGGCTGACTAAGAGAACTGTTAGAATACTTCCGTTGAGCTCATTGAAAGAGTATAATATATGCAGAATATGCCCACACTGTGGGGTGACTCATTTGGCTCCAGGCTCCTCTCACAGCCCAAATTCCCCAGGGAGTTTGGGTGATGATCTATGGCTTTCCCAGAATCAGGTGGGAAGGTTGAGAGGGAGTTCCACAGAGGAAAGTGCCCCGGGCAGGCAGGCAGAGACAATGACTCTTCTTTCACAGATGCACAAGGCAACCCCTATCCAGGAGTTTACAGTCACTGAGGAAATACTAAGTAAAGGGGTAAATAACAGTAGGCCATGATGGTTGCTATGAGATTTGAACCTGGGTCCTCTGCTCTTAACTGCTGAGCCATCTCTCCAGTCCCATGACTGGAAGGTCTGTTCAACCGTGGGAGCTTGAGGGAGGTTTTACCTTTTGCATGGGAGAGGTAGATGTGTTATCTGAGGTGGATTTTTAAAGACTAGGCACCCTTTTGGCAGTTGGACAAATGCCTTTCAGGAAGAACCCTTGAGCAGCAGCAGAGGAAAGAATGTGATTTGTCTCCTAAAGGATTGATGTGTCAAGGAATTCCAGGAATGTGTGAGGAATTTCAAGTGCCCGTCTAGAGTGCCTCACCTAGGAAGAAGTGTGGGCGGATTTAGATTTTAAAGGGCCTTCTATGCTCTTTTGGCAGTGGGATTTAATTCTAGGAGATAAGTTATCATCAGATGACCTTAGGTGGCAGAAGGACATAATCAGTGTGCATTTTAGGAAATGATTGTGGACAGGTAACTGGACCCTCATACTCAACTCCCCTGAATGTAACATGCTGACTGTTCCAGACCAGTCAGAAAATGCGATGCTGGGGAACCCTGAAGAGATTCCCCAGGTTGTTGCAGAGCTCCAGCTATCCATGGGAGCTCTGTGGATGTGTGGGGTGGTCATAGGTGAAGAAAGAAGCCCCAGGAGGTTTTCATTGCAGTGGAGTTCTGGGCCTTTGAGGGTGATATGGCTGGATGTAGAAGGCCACAGGCCACTAAAGGGTGCGACTAGTGTGGGAATTTCCCCTGCTCTACCTCCACCCTCATGACCAGTTTTGTGTTTGGATGTCTTTAGTGCCCTGTGTAGCAGTTGTCTGGGAGAGACCAATCAGGAAGAGTATTGAGACAGCTTTGTTGCTGGGTGGGAGTGGAGTCACTTCCTCAGGATGGCCATTTTTGATTCTGTGGAGGAAGGTGAATGAGGTTGAGAAGGCCGTGCTCAGGTTGCTGGGGGCTGGGAGAGAACTTCCTTTTTCTTATAAATAGGAGCTCTCTGACAAGGAGAGACCAGGTTTCCTTTGCAGCAGGTGGTTTCTGAAAGCAAATATCTTTATTCCTGCTGTGAGAATCAGCAGTTCATGCTTTGGAGGAACTGCCTGTATCTTTTTTGAACAGCATGGAGATAGGGTCCAGACAGAGGGCTAGAATCTGCCATCCTGGTGATTTCACTGTGTAACCTTGACCAAATTAGTAAACAAACCTCCCTAAATTTTAGCATCCTCAACTAGAGGGAGGGAGTTACATAAGTGTCCCCAGCAGCCGAAACAAGATCTAGCATTTGGTTGAGCCTGTAGCTCAGTGGTAGAGCACTTGCCTAATGTACGTAAGGCCCTAGTTTAGACAGAGTATCACTGTGTATCTCTGACTGGCTTTGGTCACCCAGATTTTGACCCACAGTACCACAAAAATTCAAAGCAAAACAAACAACAACAACCAAACAGCTAACATTTATTATTTGCCATATGCTAGACCCTGTGAAAACATGTTTATGTTAATTAGTTCATGTATTCCTTAACTAGCTCTCTAAAGTAGGTAGTGGTTTTTTTTTTTTTTTTTTTTTGGTGTTTATGAGACAGGGTCTCCCTGTAGCCCCAGCTGGCCTGGAACTCACTATGTAGACCTGGCTGGCCTGGAACTCACAAAGATCCACCTGCCTCTGCCTCCCAAGTGCTGGGATTAAAGGCATGTGCCACCTCTTATCAGCATTTAACAGATAAGAAAATCCAATTCTGTACTGTAGAGATGGCTCAGTGGGTAAGAATACTGGCTGCTCTTGCAGAAGACCTGGGTTTGAATTCAGCACCCACATGGTGGCTAACAATTGTCCATAACTCTAATTACAGGAGATCTGATGCCTTCTGACCTCTTTGGGCATTGCACAACTCAGGTACACTTACACTTCTGGAAGCAATACACTTATACACACATTGATAAAAGGAACACTGGCTGCTCTTGCAGAAGACCTGGGTTCAAGTCCCAGTACCCATATGGTAGCTAACAACTGTTTGTAACTCCAGTTACATGGTATCCGACACTCTTCTTCTGACCTCCGAGGGCGTTGTACTATATAGATGCACTTATGTACGTGCAGGCAGTACATGCATACACAAAATGTTTTAAAAGAAAATCCAGTCTATGCCCAACATGATTAGCAGGAACTTGCTTGTGCCCTTCCTGCTTCCTCAAAAAGTCAATAGGTGGTAGAGCTTGGATTTAATTTCAGACAACTCCAGAATATTATGACAATGGATTGTTATGAGTTTTAATAGGAATTACATCTAACAAGCTTAATATAGCTCTTGGTTCTTAGTGAGACTTCAATAACAGTGACTATTGTGTTTTTATTCACTCTGGCCTCTTTGTCTCTCGCAGAAGCAGCTGACGCAGGATGACGATGCTGACGAGGTGGAGATCGCTATTGACAACACAGCATTTATGGATGAGTTCTTCTCTGAGGTGGGCAGCCTTCCTGTTTTTTTTTTTTTTTTTGAGTGTTCATTAGGAAACACAGCTTCCTTAGTGTCAAAGTAACCTTAGCCCCTTCAAGGCTGGCAAAGGAAGGCCATAGTCTTCTGCTGGGGTTGGATGGATGGCCAGACTGAGCTTTTACAGGGAGTGATAGAATATATGAATTTCAGGAAAGCCATAAGCTTCATGAGAGGAGGCCATAAAGCCATTAATCCCTTAAAGTGTCTAACTGGCCCTAAATTGGCAGACCAGCCTTGCTTAAGTCTGGCCTTGCTCAAGCCTCATCAATTGATCATTCCCAGGACTGGGAGAGACTGTTTGTGGAGCCCACCTGTCTCCTTTAGTGCTACAGATAACTCACCTGCCTGCCTGAGAAAATAATCATCAGAAAAGAGACCCTCAAGGACACCAGACCCTGGCATGGAGTTATCCCTTGCAGCTGTGTACAGCAGAGTTCCTATATAAGACCAGATTGCTCCCTCTTCAGAGCACAGATAATTGTTCCCTTTGCTGGCTTTCCTGAATCCAGGGAGCACATTCCTTGCCTGTTACAGGTCTGGCTCCGATTCTTATTTCTTAACTTTAAACTCCTTCCTTTTTCTGCTTTTCTAAATGTAACAGGGAGATTCTGTTTTTACTTCATAGGAACATCTAGAATTTTAATCTTATTAAGAAAGTCAGCAGAGTATAATTGAAGATAGACTTGTAAAGTCTTATGTACATGACAACATTTTAACGATGTCTTGTATAAGGTATGTAATTTAAATGCAGTGTCAACATGGGGTCACAGCCAGGAGTAAGAAAATCATTGTATCTTTAGGCCTTTGATTCATATAGGCCAAATTTAATGTTTGTAACATTTTAATAATCCTTTTGTTTTAATTCTAGAGGTGAGAGAAATCAAGATACTACCAGTTTATTTTTGTATAAAGTTCAACAGAGATGGAAATGGGTCACCTATGCCTAAGGATTCATGTGCACTTTGACTTTGAAGGTGTTGGAGAGGTGCCTTTGAGGGAGATAGTGGGTGGTGGAAGCTTGGGAAATGCTGGCTTTAGAACTGAGTACACGTGGCTCAGATCTCAGCCTTCTGAGCAGATGTGGATTTTGGGATTGTTCCTTAATCTGCTGAGCCTTGGTTTCTTTATCTGTAAGTTGGGATTGGCCATATAAAAGTTTCCCATAGTGTTATTATGTTGACTGTGTCAGATAATGTCCAGAAAATCATGAGGCATGTGTGCTCTCAGTGAATAATTCTTAAAAAACACACACACACAATCATCCACCATCCATGGCTTTTACAGTCTTTCTGCCCCTTCTTCCACAATGGTTCCTGAGCCCTTGGTTAAATCATCATTTTTGACAATTATGTATTTTTATTTTAACTGTCATAGGCCAGTTATATAAGAATATGTGTGTGCCAAATCAACAGGAGATAACCTTATATTGTTTTAGATAAACATTGTACCTTAAATTATAAAGTAGCATAAACAAGCATTGTCATTAAATGTTCAAGTTCAGCTGAAAAACACATACCCACACAGTGGCACACATACAGACACATGTTGATGCACAGTGCGTCAACATCTTATTGCCCCTGAAGTTTCTGTCTGTACTATCTTTTCTGTATTTATCTTTTCATTTCCCTGGAAAGTAGCAAGAGACACAGTTTTCTTTGTGCCAGAGACTTCATCACTTCCCATCCTCTGGATTTTGGATGTGGAGAAGCAGCCCCCAGAGCTCCTCTGAATAGCGTGGGGAGGGCTTGAAGGTCCGTGCCTGTTCACCTGCTAGAGTAATAACTGGGTTGAAGAACAAATTTGTGTGTGTACTGGCCTGACTAGGAAGTTGGCTATAAGCCTCCACAGGGCCCCACCCTGCTTGTGGGTGGGTAGTGTCCTTCTGGTCAAGGAGTCATGGTGAGGTCAAACAACACTTGGGTTGTTCCACTTGAGGATTGTGGAAGGACAGTGGCCTTGTTCAGTATCAGGTGTGGACTCGAGTTGATGTTTGAAGACACTGTCTCTGGTCCCTGTAGTCTTGCCCTGGAGAAAGGCACACATTAAAGAATGTCTTTTTCGTGAGGAATCTTCTCTGGTAGCTGTGTTCTCCCTTTTCTCCTGATCCAGCAGGAGGGTCCCTGAGAGGCAGTATTCCAGGGGAGGTAGGAAGATAGTGGGCTTTGGTCTTCAGTGAAGACTTGAGTCTGTCCTTGGGCATTTCAAGACAGTTGACCTTGTCAAGTTATTAACTTGTCTGAGGTTGAATTTCCTGCTCTGAAAATTGGGAAGGATAGTCCTTACCTCAAGGCTATTGAGAGGATCACATGAGCTCATACATCTGGCATGATTAATTGGATAGAAGAGCTCAAGTGAAAGAAAGATGTTCCTGAAGCATCCCTTCAGATGTAACAAACTTGCTGTTAAATGTTTTTCTATCATTTAGGGAAAAAACCTCCACAAAATCCTGTCATATTTGGGGTGGGGAAGGGTGGCATGGTGAAGTATGGATTTTGAAATTAAATCCGGTCTATTAACATGTGATTTTGATATTATTTCTTAACCTAGCCAAGTCTCAGTGGGTTTAATATATGAAATGGGGAGAAAAACCTTCCCTCAAATCTTTGTTGGAGGTGAAAGGTATTAATGCTCAGGTAGAGCTTTGCATGAGTTCAGGCAGTGTTGCATTCCTTTCTTCTCCTTTGGTTGGGGTCAGAGAGGCTTGACATTGAGGAAGGATCAGAGGCAAGATGGATGGTTGTGGGGAGAGATCCTATAGACTCTGGCCCATAGACCCTGGTCTAAATTTCAACTCTATCCATTATCTACTCTACTTTTCCAAAGTGGAGTAACTTTGGAAAAATTATATAACTACTTTAACCCCAGTTTTCTCTCCATCAGGAATAGTATATGACCTGCTGTTGTTGTGAATATAAAATGTGAATCTATCTAAAGACACCCAGCACTGTGCATGACAGAGTAACCATGTTCATACATTTTGACTCTCATCATCATCCTGTCCCCAACACATTCGTGACTAGGTAGTCCATAGAGCTACTTTATAGACTGTGGTCTGGAAATATCCTTGAAATTGGGATAAAGCATCCTTCAGTTATTTGGGGGAAATGAAGGGGTTTATCTCTCAGCGGTTGGGGAACATGCTTAACATACCCTAGAGGATGTAGATAAGTCAGTTCCTTAGGATGTCACTCTTGTCATAACACTTGCCTTTTGGACTGATTCCAGCAGCTCACCCTTGATTATTTGCTAAAAACCGATACGGCAGATCACTGGTTAGTCAGGGGGACATTTGCAAGATGCAGACGAAGTCACAGGACCAGCAGCTTTTCAGAATATCACTTGCACTGTAGAATTTGAATGACCTCTCCCTTTTAGTTGTTTGAGGAAAAAATTGGCCTTGGATTTTTAGGCCTTCACTGATCATGCTGGAGACTGGTAAATGATAAAGCCTGGATTTTTCAGTTGTCTGTGTCCTTCATCATTTCATTAGTTCACAGAGCAGCAGAGTTTTTGAAGAAACAGACTTACCTTTGGAGGATGAAGCATTAGTGACTATCATTCATTCATTCATTCATTTGTTCATTCATTCCATCCATCCATCCAAATGTGTGGGTGTTTACTGTCTTCCAGACAACGTGGTAGGTATTGGGGATTCAACATTCTTTGTGACAAAGGTCCAGGTCCACTGGTGTCACCTTTTCTTTTTTAATTTATTTTTATTTTTGAAACATGAGTGTCTTGCCCACATATATGTAAGCCTGCATGTATGTGAGTGCACCTGTGTTGTGCAATGTTGCAGAGGTCAGAAGAGGGCTTCGGTTTTCCCTGGAACTGGAGTTAAGGACGGTTCATAGCTGCAATGTAGGTGCTGGGAATCGAACCCAGGTCCTCTGCAAGAGAAGTCAGCTCTTAACTGCTGAGCTGTCTCTCCAGCCCCTTATTTTTAAAACTTTAAAAAATTTATTTTTTTATTGTGTATGAATGTTATGCCTGAATGTGTGTTAAGTGCACCTGTGTCACGCAATGCCTGTGGAGGACAGAAGAGAGAGTTGGATCCTCTGGAACTGGAGTTATGATGGTTGTTAGCTGCCATGTGGGTGCTGGGATTTGAACCCAGGTCTTCAGCAGTAACAGTTAGTGCTCTTAACTGCTGAGCCATCTCCAGCCTGTGGCGTCTCCTTATCTTATGAGGATGATAGAGACTTAAAATTTGTATGATACTAGAAATACCAACAAGGTACTCTGGAAGGTCAGAAAAGGAAGTGTGTGTTCTGCTGGAGGAAGGCAGGCGTCAGTGGCTCTAACTAGACTTGCACCTCAGAATCAGGTGGGCAGCCTGTACATAGAAGTGTCTGCTTTAGTGAGACTGGAATGGCTTAGATGTGAGTGCTCAGAAGTTCTTCCAGATGATTTTCTTGCTGCCTGATGTTCTGAATCACTGCAAAGTGATGGGGAGTCTTTGAGGGGTTAGGAAAGGAAGGATTAAAAGTGTGTTTGGGAGAAATTTGTGCATGGCAGTCTGGAGGAAGGATAGCCCAGAACCTTTTGGAAAGACCAGCAGGCTGACCAATATAACAGCCCATGGGAAAAGGGTATGAGTTCGGGTCTGTATCTGTGACCCTGGGCAGCAGCCTGGTGTGTCATTTAGGGATGCTTTTGACTAACTGGCTTAATCAATAAAGATAGGAAATTATATTACATTGAAGAAGTCTAGCATTAGGGATGGTGCAGGGACTTGAAAGTATTGGAGTTCCTAGCCAGCATCTCTGAGGTTCTGTGGGCTTCCTCCTTAGGACTGAGTTCTGACTCACAAGTCAACCCAGCATTTAGTGGTGTAAGTCTTTATGTTGACAGATCCTGTGGATTGGGAATTTGGGAAGTACAGGTGGAGGTGGTTCATCTTTGCTGTACAATTGCTAGGATGTTTGATAGGAAGGCTTGAACAGGAGAGGCTAGAATCTAATTGAA